TATCGTGACCATGGAAACAAAGATTTTATTGGTATCAAAGACAAGGTTGCCAAGGTTTTGTATTAATTACAACCAACACGTGGGTGGATATGACGAAAGGTATGTTTAGTAATGCACAGCAATGATACAGTGTGTGTGCCTACAAGGTTGCAAGATGAACAAATCGATTCAAGCAAACAACTGGAGTCCGACATCATGGATTTTTGAGGAGGAGGAGAGGAGGAGGAGGAGGAGGAGGAGGAGGAGGAGGAGGGCTCAGCTTCCGCAGGTTAGTTTCGTTAATGGCTCTGCCACGATACGTTCTTGCTGCCATCTCCCAGGATGCAACCACGGACAAACAACTCGTCATTGACCTTGCAAAGTCGGCTTCTCTTAATGTCAAGGTGTCCAGAGAGATGAGCTTATCGGCTGACCAGAAGACCGAACTGCATAAGCGTAATCCAGCACTTGCCAAGGTGTTTGAATGGTAAGCTTGTTTGGCGCTTGTATGTCTATTCAACCATCTCATTCATTGCATAATGCGTAGCCCACCCGTTTCTGTATTGCTACTGGAGAGTCAAGATGCCGTTCAGCAATGGCTTAATGTCAAACAAGAGCTTGCAAGGTATGTAGTATGCGTGTATATTGTATGCACATGTGGATGTCATTTTCTCTACCCGTTTTGCCACACCCCCACCCCTTGATCCATATGCCATTCCACAACGTTTATTTTAACAAGGCATTTATGTAGGGATAGTTCGAATCTCAACGACGATGTCTTTTACAGCAGCTCATCCGAGGCGGGTGCAAAGTCTGATCTTCTTTGGTACAAGAGCATCGTTCAAAAGAAGAAACCTGCTGCTGGTAATGGCAACATCAAATCATCAGCAGCTACTACAGCAGCGTCCAAACAAAGAATGGCGACAATGACATCCAATGCACGTTCTTCCGCAGCAACAGCAACAACTCGTCGTCGATCTGCAGCTGCTGCTGCTGCTGCCTCCCAAGATACTGGCACAAGCAAGGGGCCAAAATCAGAGACAATGGTTAGTAGCAAAGAAGGGGTGGGGACAAGGAGTGAAGCATATTAGTCTCTTACCATTTCTTCTTTCTTTTTCTCTTTTAAACTTGTAACAGGGTCGACAATCTCGCAACACCAGTGTGCCTTCACGAGTACCAGTCAAAACATCATCTGACGGCAGCAGCAACGGCAATCGTGTAGCAAAGCGCAATACGCCCATGACAATGAAAAAGAACAACAACATGGCAACCACCAAAAAGACAAGACCTGCATCCACTTTGGAAAAGAAATCTGACAAGGATGAGGCACCATCATCATCATCATCACCACCAGCTGATGAAGAAGAGATAACAACCACCGAGATGGAAAAGGAGCAACAACAGCAACCTGCTACACCCAATGTTGAGCCTAACCATGTCGAGGAAATATACCCATCGACCACTACCAATGGCACCCGAGAAGAGAATGAAAGTGAACATGATGCAGAGGTGGCTGCTGCAACCACCCGTTTGGCCAATGTGGCATCTTCAGCTTCTGTTGCCACCACTGCGACCATGGTTACCATGACAACCGACGACCGAAGCTCGACATCACCATCCATTTTGCGTACTTCGCTTTCACCCAATAGCATCAGCTCGTTACCACGTCCAGAGACACCTGAAGTGGATAATCTACGTCAACGTTTCGAGAGTATTGCACAAATCACTACACCCAACAACAACAACAAGCCTTATGGCACACGACCCTCGACTACATCCCCTGACAATCCTTTGAAGGTCAAAGACATGAAACCAAAGTCGCCATCGGGTGCACGAGTCAAGAGCATGGTGGACTTTTTTATGGATGAAAACCTGCACAAATGGGAGTTTTAAGCTTCCTCTCTCTCTCTCTCTCTTGCTATTATGTTGTATTCCCAAATCACATCACACACACACAAAACGAGCACATTGATCCCATTCATTTTACTCAACCTGTCGTATACACATACTCACACACTCACACTCTCTTTTCCCCTCCCCCTTCTTTTCGAGAATTGTTGTCTTTATATACCATATTACTATCCTTATCACATATCCCTCCCCCTCACACCACCACTCAAACCACACACCATCAGTTATATTATAGTATACTTTTCATGCCCATGATTCCCCTTTCTTTTTACAAGTGAAAAAAAGACAAAAAAGCACAATAAAGGTATTCCCAATTGTATTCTCATGTAAAACTTGTTCTGTCTCTCAATGGTCTTATCGGGGCAAGCTGATAAAGGGGATTCGCATAATGGTGGCAGTGGCTGTAATCAAATATCGACTCAGCAGCAGCCCACCGCAACTACATACAAGCCCTTTCTATCTCTCGCAGTCATTCACTACTTGGCCATGGCCACCCATGAAGTCTTATTGAAAGATGTCAAACCATTACTCAGAGGCTTTGACTGCCAAGTCATTGTTCTTCAAAGAGGTAAGGTTTATTTCTTGTTGCTAGGAGGCCATTGATACTAATCCACCCATTCACAGCGGAAGCTGATCCCCACTTTACTCGGCATGGTGACGCGATCTACAAGTATATCGTTGCTGACAAGACTGGTTCTATCGTATTGAGTATATGGGGTGACCGAGCAAAGTGCATTAAAAGTGGGGACATTTTGCGTGTTACTGGCGCGTAAGTAGTGTTACAGTACATGGATACGAAGGATCACTAATAAGGATCATCGTCATGGTAGGGAAGCAAAGATTCGAAAAGGGCAACTCGAAATGGAGGCGTTACGTGCGTCCAAGGTTAGGCGCATTGGACAAGATACCATGTGTTTCAATGAACAACCCAACTATTCAGAATTGACGCCGCAACAATTACAAGACCAATATCATCCACATCCACAACATCAACCTTTACAACCTCCTCGAGATCCACGGGATCCATCATTTCCTGGTCATCATCATCACCATCACCATCATCCTTCTATATCACAACAATTACCACCCAATTCAGCTCCTCGTAACAAGTTCTCTAATTTTGCTAATGATCGACGTCAACCATCCCCTTCACCACGGGGCGGCGGCCGAGGCGGTTTTCGGGGAAAAGTACGGCGTATAAGATAACAACGACAACAACAATCAATGCATCCATAGTAACACATCACACGCTCTTTATCCTTTTTTTGCGCCATAATAATGTACATAGCACATGATTTATCAATACAATGAAAGCAAGTGGTCCCATTGTGATCGATTCTATAAAAGCCCAACAACATGTCTTATATCATCCATTTGCAATCATCAACAAGATGCCACCCCTATTGACGGTGCAAGAGCAGTTCTCCAAAGTTCTGAATCGACGTCATGTTACAAAAGAAGAGGCGGATAGCAGCTTGAATGAATTACGATGGTTGGTGTTAACCTATCCATGTCCTTCTGAGGTGAGTGTGTGTATGCGTTGCTGATATCTATACCAGTGACCTAATGACTTTTTATATAGCTTAGGGGATGGATTTGGAAAGTGTTTTTGAAACTTGAAGTGTCAGCATCATGTTACATCAGCCTCGTCCATCGTGGTGCAAGTTCAAGGGATGCTGAGATTCGTAACGACACCTCGAGAACCATGACAACCGATACCACCTTTATTGAGCACGTATCAGAGGATATGCTTATTCGGATCTTGAATGCTTTTGTTTGGATCAGCGATCAAAGTATGTAATGCTGAAAAATAACATACGCCTTTGTTAACATGTTACAATAGATGGACGTTTAGGAGATACATCCGAGGAATTGCATCTAAGAACAAGTTTACATCGTGGCGCCACGGGTGAGCTCGCCTATGTCCAAGGCATGAATGTATTGGCAGCACCATTCCTCACAGTACTGCCTGAAATGGAAGCCTTTTATGCTTTTTCCAGACTCCTATGGCATTGGTGTCCATTGTACGTAAGATCCACGCTCAAAGGGGTACATTGTGGTCTCAAGGTTAGTTGCATACCTTCTTCAATCATCATTCTCCATGATTTAAACGACATCTTGGTAGCTTGTGGATATGTGCTTACGCACATTGGATCCTGAACTTTATGGATACTTGTTAGGAAAAGGGTTATCAGCAAGCATGTACGCTTTCCCATGTAAGTGCCATCCACGGTTGCTTGTTTTTATTACCAAAAGTGCTCACCCATACATATAAGCTGTATTGACATTCTCGGCATGTACACCACCTCTATCTGAGCTATTACGATTATGGGATGTCATGTTTGCATTTGGCTTTCATCTCAACATTTTGTTTATCATTTCTCAATTGGCTCTTGTTCGTGATGAAATTATGGCAACTTCAAGGTATGCAACGAAAGGAAGAAGAAAACATGGGATGATGGAGATGCTTACACTATTGGATGGTATAGCCCCATGAAAATCCTACGCAAGCTACCCTCACTCAAGGCTGATGCGATCATCCCGTTAGCATTGGCATCCCATAAGAAGCTTCCACCCAACCTCTTTGATCTACTGGTACGACACTTGTATGACGAGACAGTGGCGGATGAATTGGGCGTCGAGGTGACAGCAATATCACAAGCCAGAGATCGTAGGGCTTTACCTGCTTTCATGGCTGAAGCACGTAATCTTTCCATCCCACAGCTTTCAAGTAGTAGCACTTCTTCGGGTAGCAGTAGCAGTGGTAGCAATAGTGGCACGTGAATGTAAAACAATGGATGTACCGAACAAAGATCACGCAATGTTGTAAAACAAGAACGAGCTGATTGGTGAAAGATATGAGCAATCAATGTTGCATCATCTCGGAAGAGGAGATGCCCGTGTACACTTTTTCCAAGAGGCCCTTTTTTAGGGTCGTGGGAAGCTTTCATTTTCCCACGACTGAGAAGGAGGCATAATAGAAACAAAACAGGAGATCCGACATCCTGCCTTTTGCATTTTCTCTCTTTCTCTTCCACATTAACAACAAACATGTCTACCACCACCAACACCGATCCATACACTTACCTTGAAGGATTTGGCAATCACTTTGTCTCTGAGGCTTTGCCAGATGCTCTTCCAAAAGGTAAAATTGATCTAAACCCCGATATCAAATTACGTTTATCTCATGCATTTTCCAGGTCAAAACACGCCTCAAAAGTGTCCCTACGAGTTGTATGCCGAGCAGCTGTCTGGAACAGCATTCACCGTCCCACGCTCACATAATCAACGAAGGTATGTAAAGAGTTGTTTATAAGGAACAAGAAGAGGGGCTTATCGAGAATGGATTTATATAATAGCTGGCTCTATCGTATTCGACCCTCTGTGGTGCACAAGCCATTTGCTCCTTTCAAGCATGATTCCATTGTAGCAACTTCATCCTCTTGCGAAATCACACCCACACAGCTTCGATGGAGCCCCTTTGATTTACCAGCTGAGGGTGAAAAGGTTGACTTTGTTCAAGGCATCAAGACCGTGAGCGTGGCAGGTGACCCAACTGCTGCTAGCGGCTTGGCTATTCACATCTATACTGCAAACACCAATATGGATCACAAGGCATTCTACAACTCGGATGGTGATATTCTTATTGGTAAATGTCAAGGACTCAACTTGCTATTTCAAATGCTAATCAAGGTCGTTGCTATGTAGTTCCCCAGCAGGGTCGATTGGATATTTGTACCGAGTTTGGTAAAATGATGGTGGCACCCAATGAGATTTGCGTGATTCAACGTGGTATTCGATACAGCGTGTCATTGCCGGATGGACCTGTGTAAGTAGAAAAAAGGGTATTTTGGGTATCTATATATGGCATGCTAATGGGATGTGTATAATAGTCGTGGCTACATGCTTGAGATCTTTGGTCAAACACACTTTGAACTCCCTGATCTTGGACCTATTGGTGCCAATGGTCTTGCCAACCCACGCGATTTTGTTACACCAAAGGCAGCCTTTGTAAAAGAATCTGGTGTCGAATGGGAAATCATTACCAAGTTTGCAGGCAAATTGTTCTCAGCCAAGCAAAACCACACTCCTTTTGATGTTGTTGCATGGCACGGTAACTATGCACCCTACAAGTACGATCTTGCCAAATTCTGCGCTATCAACAGCGTCACCTTTGATCATATTGTAAGTACCACCACCACCACCATCTAATGGAAATCATGCTGATGATGAATCATCTCATACATAGGATCCTTCCATCTTTACGGTACTCACCGCCAAGTCCACTGTTCCCGGTGTGGCTATTGCCGATTTTGTCATTTTCCCTCCAAGATGGGCTGTCGCTGACAACACTGTAAGTATTGCCAACCATGACAAAAGAAAAAGGTCACGTGCTAATGATGCATGTATATACGATGTATAGTTCCGACCCCCTTACTTCCATCGCAATTGCATGAGCGAATTTATGGGTTTGATTTTGGGTGATTACGAAGGCAAGACCGGTGGATTTGCCCCTGGCGGTGCCTCTTTGCATAGTCCAATGACACCTCACGGTCCTGATGCTAAGGTGTTTGAAGCTGCATCCAATGCCAAATTGGAGTGTACTCGTGTAGGAGATGGTACGCAAGCATTCATGTTTGAAACTAGTCTCACATTGCCAGTGACCCCATGGGCATTACATACCTCTGGCAAGGTGCAGGAGGATTATTGGAAGGCATGGGCTGATCTTGATACCAAGTTTACTGCTTAAAAATAAAAAAAAGGACGACATCATTTTGTAGTATACATTGAGATTGACAACAATGCTGCTGCGTTGTGTTGTGTTACATTTCTCCACTTTTTTTTTTATACTGTGCGGTTTTTAATCCCACGGCCCCGACAAAATTATACATTTCATCCATATACAATAGCCCAATCATAGCATGTATTGACTCTGGGATTCCAATTTACCATCATTGCTTGATATCATTTTTTATTTAGGATGATGAGCTCGATAATAGGATTGAATCGCTATGGCTTATCATTGAGAATTGCTTTATTGAAACGAGATGGAAAGAAGAAAAAGATCGGAAGACTCGGGATGGGTGCGTCGTTATTGGTTAAGAGCTTCCCTGATACCGCTCATTCAAAGTGTCTGTAACCAAAAGAGGTTGCTCAAGTCACGACTCCCTTTCACCGTGTAAAGGCAAATATATATTTTCTTGAAAAAGAGGTGTCTATTCTCTCGCTCTCTCTCTCTCCCCCCAACGACCCTTCTTTTCCTTTATCCCGACCACCACCATGTTGCGCAATATCTACAAAACACATGCACGATCGTCACCTCTTGTCATGCGAGCACTGGTATGCATTGGACGGGAAATGTCGGGTGTTTTTCTTTTTGTTCATCAATGGATGGAGTAGTCTCAGCAAATAAGGACACACGCAACCACCGTTTCCGATACACCATCGCCACCCTCATCCTCACAGTCGGCCAAGTCAAAACTCACACAGCTACGGGAACGTTTGGCAGCGGAGGATGCTGCTATTGACGAATTCGTTAACACCGGCAGCACCGGCAAACTGTCACCTGAAGAAGCTCTCGAACTCAAGGAAACAGTGGTGGAAGCTGGCAAGCAAGTCAAGACAAAAAAGTTGTAAGTAACATGATCATGCATGGTCTTGTTGTCAGTGTTGACAAGGTTTTGGTAATAGGAAACAACCTCGATTGCCAGAATGGCTCAAGACCGATATCCCAGCAGGTGGAAACTATGCTCGTATCAAAAAGGATCTTCGTGGATTGAAGTTACATACTGTGTGTGAAGAAGCTCGGTGTCCCAACATTAGTGATTGCTGGGGTGGAGGTAAAGGATCCATTGGGCTTATGTAAAGGGTACATGGTTTGACATTGGATATGTGTGGCATGATAGGTGAACATCAAACTGCTACAGCCACTATCATGTTGATGGGTGATGAATGTACACGTGGTTGCCGCTTCTGCTCTGTCAAGACCAATCGCAATCCTGCTCCTCTCGATCCGCATGAACCTGAACATACCTCTGAAGCTATTCGACGTTGGGGTCTCGATTACGTTGTGCTTACCAGTGTGGATCGTGATGATCTTGCCGATGGTGGTTCCAATCATTTCGCCGAAACAATTAGCAAAATCAAGACCAAGTAAGTATCAATGCATCGTCATCCATCATCATCATCATCATGATCTTTTTACTTACTTTTTTTCATAGGGCACCTCATATCTTGGTTGAATGTTTGACGGGTGATTTCGGTGGTTCATTGGATTGTGTTGAAACGGTGGCCAAGTCTGGATTGGATGTTTATGCACACAACATTGAAACTGTTGAAGCCCTTACTCCCTATGTGCGTGATCGTCGTGCTGGTTTCCGCCAATCCATCAGTGTTCTCAAGCACGCCAAAGAGACTCGACCTGATTTGATTACCAAGACATCGATCATGTTGGGATGTGGTGAAACCGATGATGAAGTATTGCACGCTTTACAAGAACTTCGCAAGGCAAATGTGGACGTGGTGACACTTGGCCAGTACATGCGACCTACCAAGCGACACATGAAGGTGCACGAGTACGTCACACCTGAGAAATTCAAGCACTGGGAAACGACCGGTATGGAGATGGGATTCAAGTATGTTGCCAGTGGTCCTCTAGTAAGATCGAGTTACAAGGCTGGTGAATTCTATATTAGCAACATTCTTAAAAAGAGAAAGGGTGTTCCTGTACAAGCTGCAGAGGCAGAGGCATCCAAATCATTGTAAAGTTGTTTTTCTTTTTCGTCTTTTATATATATATATACTTCAAAAACCATACACAGTTAATATACAAAAAGGGGGGTTCCAAATGATACAATCGTTTTAAATCTTGTAGGATACAATCGTTTTAAATCTTGTAGTATCTTCTGATAAATACGGGAATAAGGGCAGCGATAGCAACACCAATGAGACAAAGCACGTTGGTAGGGGTCACGAGTTGAAGTTCGTCGGATGATGAAAGTCTATCAAGAGCTGCACCTGCTTGCACGTGGATAAAAGATGGAGGGGCCACACCTTTTGAAATTCACAAAAGTGAGAATTCATGCAAAGTGCCATGTCTCCTATACGCTACCACGCCCACTTACCAACAAACGTTCCCCAGAAGAAAGCACCCAAAGGCACGCCTAGATGGGGTGCACCAAGATTGATAACCCAATTGGGAGGAAGCGGAGCCACACGTAAAACGATCATGTAGTTTAGCATGTGTTGTTTATGGTTCACGAGCTATTTTTTTTGTAGGATGGGTGAGTAACGATGATAATGATGATGATGATGCGTGGTGCGTGGTGCGACGAACCTGTTCATTCCATTTGGCAATCCTATCACCAATCAAGCGTACCACAGCTACAGATCCAAGACTAGCCGAAATCGCATAGGCCACGGTAGAGCCAATTGCCGAACACTAACATGTGACACACATTGGTGCATTTACGCATGAGTAAACCTTCATGGTTGGGGTGGAGGGTGTTATATACACATACCAATGAAACCGTAAACAACGTAAGCCAGAAGTTGAACAATGCACCACCAAGGATAGATAACCACATGGATCCTGGTACTGAAAAGCTTTGGAGACTAGTAGCAATAGTGTATGAGTGCCAAGAGACAAAGGACATTTAGCCGTAATCCCTCCTCCGCTTTCCCCGCCCCCTCATCCACGCACGCACACACACACACACACTCAGCATTGTACTTACTAGATATAGGTGACAAAATAGGTGACATAGACATTCATGAAATGTTGGTCGATATAAGCTGATAAGATGGCATTGAGACGTCGTAGATCTTCAAGGCTTTTTGGAAGTTTCAGAGCATCCTGGTCTTCACTACAGAAAAAGGAGAAAGGGAGGAGGAGTGGGGGTTTTAGTCATGTGAGCGATGATAAATGTCGTTGTTCCCCCCCCCTTATCCATGGGTATCTTACGGGCTCACTGCCGGTAAATTGAGCTTGAGCAAAGCCAATTCAAGTCCAGTAAAGACAATAAACAAGATAATCAACATGCCAAGTGATCGAATATAAGAGTTGCTACGCCATAGTCGCCATGTCGTTGTCGTCTCCACTTGCACCGTTTTTACAATGTCGCCATTCTCATCGACTCGTTGTGTTTCTGCACTCTCTATGCTGGCATAAGTTTGGACGTCTTGCTCGACCGCCTGCGGTGTTGACAAGAGAGGTGTTGTTGCATCATTGGTATTCATTTGAGAGAGGGAGGGAGAGAGAAAGAGAAAAGTGAAAGAAGACAAGTCAAGGACAAATTCAAGCCGACTTTACTTGGTCAAACTCAATGTCTTTCCATTTTCGGAATCCATTGACTTACCTCTTCCATTTCCGACGCAACACACACACATTCACTCACTTGGACTTTTACCACTTGCTATGGGAGGTGTCGACAAGTTTACCCTCAACGATCGCCAATTCATATGCGTTGAATATCCTGGTCGTGTAAAAAACATTGATCGTGCCATTGACACCTTGGGTGGACAGCAAGCCATTACAGCGGTACATTTGATATATACAAACAACTCCCTCTCCCCCCTAATCGACCACTGATCGCACGCGTCTTCAGGCCGTAGAGAATCCAAAGAATGGTATCGAGTTGAGACTACGTCCCAAGGACCCTTTTTCCCATCCTGTTTCAGGCGAGGTTAGGCGTATCCCAGGTCTTTTGCTGAAGGTCACACGACGTCGAAGAAAGGGACAACCCGAGGATGAAGGCGAAACCAAGGCAGAGATAGTTGGTACAGTAACTCGTACATGTCGTTTTCGTGGTATGTAAAAAGGGGATCAATTATATAAGAAAAAGTCCCACGATTAATCTATTGTATCAAGCCATGGGAGATTTCCAGTACCTGGTGCCAAAAGATGATCGTATGCGGCAAACAAGAGAAGCAATCTTAAAGGGTGATGGTAAGCGGATCGAATCATGTGCTACTTTGGTGGATAGCTTGAATAACGTGATCCTAGTACAAAAAATCCGAGATTTCAGGCCGCGTACCAGTGCAGAAGAAGGACCAGATTTGCATTCTGTACCACCACCTCTTTTCAGTCTTCGAGATGCTCCATTCAATTATGGGTACGTTGTGTGATATCGGTTGCCTACACGACCACTAATGGATCATGGTTGTTTAGATACAAGCAAGCTGCTCGTGTGATACAAGTGAAAGTGCGTCAACCGGATGGATCGGTAAGTAGGAAGGATTTATAGGTGGAGTGTAGGAAGCTTATAGAGTGCTTTGTTTCTAGTATGCGGTCAAGCTTTTACACAAGGCCTCAAAAACAGATGCTGGTCGCCAAATGATTCGATACAATAGTCCTACCGTTCCATCAGAACCGATTATCTCTGAAAGTATCTTGGGCCCAGAAGAAAGGCGTCTCGCTAAAGAGCTCACCAAGGTATGATGGGTTGTTGTGGTATTTCATCAGACGATGGTATTAATATAAGGAAAAGTATTTCCAAGAACGACCCATGTGGACTAGAAGCGCCCTTCTTCATCAATTCCCTATTAAGGATTACAAGTACATCAGAACGTGAGTGCTCTTTATTTACAAGTTGAGGTAGTGGATAACTAATCCATGCATCCAGAGCCCTCAATCTACATTGTTACTCTTTCCGAAACGGTCCATGGAAGGAGGTGCTTATTCGGTTAGGAGAAGATCCAAGGAAAGATCCAAATTGTCACATGTAAGCTATACCCATTGACTTACCTCGACATTGTATTAATCACCTTGTCTACTATAGTTATCAATCAATCATTATGCGTCTTCATGTGAAACGACCCAATCAGGAAGAACTGCATCAAAAATCCATACATCAAGCCAAACTAAAGACCGCACGTAACCGACACGCTGCAAGCAATTATGGGGTACCTGAGCTTAGGTAAGAAAAGGAACCAATCCCAAGTAGGATGTTGTTTGACCATTGCTCTAGTGAGGAAGATCGTCAAGCACACATTTTCAATGGCCAGCGTGCTCCTGTTGACTCAAGCACCTATTGCTTATATGATGTTACCGATCCCGATTTACAAAACTTGATCCATTCAGCTGCTTTCAGGAAATCAACATGCACAGTAAGTTGAGGAAAAGGATGATTAGGATGGATTATAACATGAGCTCTTAGGCACATTCTGGTTTTTATTATCGCTGTGTCATTGAACGTATACGACACATCATGAGAAGGAAGATGGAACAAGTGATTGAGTCAGGAAAAGCAGATCCATGGGAGGATCCCGAAGAAGGGTTGGATGAATTGATTGCCAAAGAAAAAGAGTCGGCGAACCAAGATGAGGATGAGCGTGCTGCAGAGGAGCGTGATCAAGCGCAGGCCCAAATTAGTCAATGGGAAGACGCAAATGATCCTGAAACGGCAAAGGTAACTAGAGTGGGATGCGTTGTGCTTCTTTGTATTGCATACTTATATCGCACGCGGCACCCATTGTAGATGTTCGAGACGCTGCGAGAAGCGGGTGCATTGAGTGCTCTTAATACCGAAGACCTCAACTTGGAAGATCTTGGCTTGGATGAGCTGGCTGGTCTAGGAAGCTTTGCCGATGTCTTTGATCAAGACGAAGGAGAGGATGAAGAAGAAGATGCAGAGGAGGATAAACCATTATGGCAGCTGGATGATCTTAATGATCTTTAGTGTGTGTGTATCAATCAATAAATAGCATTTTTATATTTTGACAGCATCCACATTTAACGATTGATTCTATATACATATCTTTTGTGTTTGACCTCTTCTTTTTTTATTATTATCCAGTATACATGCGTAAAGGTCTTGATAATGTTCTACACTAATGTACCCAATTGACCAATGACGCGACGACAGAGAGAGGCAGAACACAAGAGTCCATGGTGAAAGGGAACTGCAGTAGGCTCCTCTTCATCCATAAACGAGTACCAGGGATCTTGTTTGGATTCATCATCGTTGTCGTCGACAAATAACCAGTCATCCACAGATTCCAAGAGCTCATCGAATTTGGTGAATGGCTCAAAGTTGAATGATTGTGCCACCTTGATGGGTTTCATTGTACCTTCCTTTTCATTATCATCATTGCTCTCCTTCTTGATCTCGCTTGCTTCAGTTGATTTGGCTGTTGCTGTCACGCCTTTTCCTTGGGTATTTGCAAGTGCCAACGAGGAATAAAACAAATGTTGAAATGCGACATCCGATATGCATAAGGTCTTGTGATCCGTAAAGCGTATATCCAGAGCGTGCCTAATCCCCCCACATTTCAAACCCGTCAAACCATACCATAGTGACAAGAGCGCAACCTCCCCTATAATACCACCACTGTACACTTACGTTGATGAAAAGACTATCCGTACTGAATCAGCCGCGTGAGGAATGATCGATATATCGCCAATGGCACCCTTTTGAGCAATATCCACCTCCAACTTTTCAAGACAGGCCATGAAGGGTAATGTCTGGATCATGATCTGTAGAATATACGCTCTTAGTAACTTGCACACACATACAATTTCAATGAGACCATCAACGAACCTGAACAAGATAAACAAGATCGCGCTTTTCATTCAAGATGTCTTGTAGGAAAGGTGTCACACGCCAATGAGGATTTTGAGTGTACATGTGCAAAGACGTTGCTGACTCCTTGTCCTTTGGTTTTGGATGCTCGCCGTTCTCCATCATACCAAGAGATATCACATATTGACGTGCACGACCTCGACTTGGAGAATCCCATCGAATTGAACAAGAAAGGTTCTAGGATATATATGTTTGAGATACCCTCTCCCATCTGAAGCCGTGTATGTTACCTTGGCGTATGTAAATCGGAGCTCATGTGTATCAAACGATTCAAACTTGAGTTGATCCTTATATCGATCCATCCACTTTGATGATGCTAGTAAAGAAGGTTATTAGTTTTCAAACCACATAAAGCATTGTTTTTGATACTCACATTGCCTAGCAAGATAAGACATCATAAAGATACGCTCCCAATCAACAAGGAACCGGTCGATGCAATTGTCAATATCCGTATAGGTAAATGATAGCACATTGGAGACCTTGTCAAGTGAGATGTGATCTATTGGATGTGTATTAGCATGTCACCAAACCAAGCATCATATTGAAAAAAAAGCTTACCTCGAATGTCGTGAGTAGGTAATGGCATGTTTTTCCAATCAAACTTTTCTTGGATAACGACAAAGCATTCACTGCGACCGCACGCCCACCAACCAGATGCACGCATCACGACATCATTTTTCATCTCTGGTATCATCTTCTCAACCCATGGTCGAATGTGTAGCGGCACCTCCCTGTTGTTGGCAGTTGGATGACTCTCGTCCACATTTCGCATAACGCATGCTTTGAGTAGATCACGCTGTGGAACACAAAGCACTTCCATTTTCTTGGCAGCTGGATGATTGAGTACTTGAGATTCGGCTGTAGGCAGTGACTTGAGTAATGGGCGAGGTGTGAAATTGATGGATCCCCTGAGTCGCTGCAATTGCAGTTCTATCTTGCAGTTCGTGATACATGCGCTATATACGTATACATAAGTCATTGCTTGGCGACTCTTTGTCTCTCATTACTTACCGGCATAGGGAGTCCAGCTTCGCCATGAACCGCAAATTAACCGATAAACTATGTTTATGATTAGCCAAGGTATACTTGCAATTTCGTGTATCCTTCTTACTTGTCTATAATCTCTGTTGTAGATTCTTGTTGTGATGTATCCTCCAAACTTGCTTCAGTCCTCCGTCGTTTCCTTGTTACGTGTTGTGATGTAGATTGCGTATCTTGTTCTTGTTCCACGCTTGATCTTCTCCGCTTGCTGCTAGTATCACGATCCGTATCCTCATCCAGCTTAGGTAAAAAGTGCTCCTTCCACATCTCTTCATATTCGACATGCATCATATCCACAATCACTTGGAATAATCCATTTTGGTCATATGTTTTGCTATAAAGATGACGATAAGCATACCCTATCTCTGATCCAATCATCGCATTCACACTTACTTTATGCAACATAGCCATGAATAAACTTCATTTCGTACGATAGCAATCACCAGATACCAATCCTCAAATTGAACAAATTGTAGAAATACACAGTGCGACGGGTATAATGCCGGCCTTCTTGAGGCGGCTGCAGTAGCAGCAGCGGTGGTGGTGGTGGTGGTGGGTTGTGCTGCTGTGGTTGCTGATGTTGTACTTGTTGCTGGTTCGCTTGGTGTATGTGATGTAGGCAAGTCGCCAAAGAGCTTGATAAAATCATCCGGCCGTAAGGACATTTGAGATGGGGAGAATGGTTGAAGGCTGAGCTGCTTTGCAAGAGAAACGATCTCACGAATCACCACCTCGGATCGTAACCAAAGCAAGTGGCGTGCAATGTTTTCAGGATCACTGTTCAATCGTTCTTCAAGCTCCTTCAATTTGGCATCTCCTTCACCCAGCTTGTATCCAAGTTCCCGCACCTTGACACGACCTGTACGCACATCCATGGTGATGGTGATATATCGGCGGTGGCGGTATCGGATCGCAATAGATGGGATGTCCTGCTCATCATGATCCATATCATCTACGTATACAACTTAATATTCGATATACTCTTTCTCGTACTGTTCTATTTTTACCTTTGGTCTCTGTAATACGATCCACGCCAGATAACACGTTTTCAAGAGATCCTTCAATCAAATGGAGTCCATTGTCGTTCAAGAACTGCTCTTGTCCCTTGAGTAAGCTTCGGAATCGTTTAATGATACAAGTGCTGTGATGTCGTGTGACATGCCAAAGTACACGTTCAATGTTCAAATCGGATGGGTTCTAATGTCAATAAGCAATGATGAGTGGCATGGATCACGAACATCATAATCACATTCACGTACCAATAATTCCTTGTCAGCGTGCAAATTGTTGAAACCACCCCACAGGACTTCAAGTTGATTCTTGGGATATTGTAATGCCGATACCACAGCTGGCTTATCTTCTTCGTCCACTGAGGAAAGCATAGCCGATGCACCCAAGCCTGCTCGTTGTACAAGACCTCGCATATCATCTCGAACACTGATCGCCATGTTGATTTGATCCGAGTATGGTCCCTTGCGCTTTGATTTCTCATCGACAACTGAAATCTCAATCGTTGTGCTATTCTCAAGTGGTCTTCCAGCCAATTCCAACTAGAAAGGGTATTCACTGATCAATCTCCAAAAATATCACTAAAGCAGTCTCATTCCCTTATACCTGAGGATGTGCCCAATGTGCTGTAGGAGATCCACCTTTCCAATACACGAGCACCAACTTATTGCGTGTAGGGTCCATTTGCACCTTGAGTTGTTCAAGCCACCGCGTCTTTGATACCATTGTCGATTGCATGTAGATGATCTCCAATTGCATATTGAGACAAAATAGATGCAGGTAATCATGCAAGTTGACGAGTGGAAAGAATAATGGCGTTTTGGTCTGTTCGTCTTGTGGTGGTTGAGGTGGGACGAGTTGCTTTTGTGCATTCACCCGAAGATATTGTCGCTGAATTTCATTCAATGATATATCAACATCTATCACAAGGCACGTAAGTTGACATGTCCCATTGTTGATCTACCTCATCCTTTTTCTTTACCTGCAGCCCCACTTCCAACAGTCGATTTGACCTGTATATCCAACGACACGATCCACCATCGTTGTTCACTTGGCGGGCCCATCAACGTCAAAGAGACTTCAAACTCATCCTTGATTGTAAATGTGATCCGACCACTCTCTAAATCATCATAACACATGAGTTGACTTTTTTACACTATGAATCAGGGATTCACTTACCAATACGATAATGCTGCATTGGTGATGGCAAGACCTCGGTTGTCAACATCCTCATGCGAATCACGTCATTCATTTTGCGGAATGTTTCCAAGACTTCTTCATCGGTGAGTGGTGAACGTGGTACCATATCCTATAGTACACAAATAGAATAAGATGGCTGCTTTGTTTGAATGATGGTGAATCATTTATACCTTGTATTTGCTTGGCATGCGTTGATATGATCCCGTAGTAAGAACATCGACAGCGGTGGGAATATCAAAGTTGCGTATCCGTGCTCGTGGTAATTCGACGTGGATCTTGTTCAAGAAACGAGTTGCATCGTAAAAGAACTGATTTTGATTTGCCAGAAAAGCCATGATATTCTAATGCAAAAAAAGTGTTAGTGGGCCGATCGCGTATGGAGCGCGTCTTATTTTGCATGATCTGGTTACCTGACACATCTGAATATCATCCGCGTTTTCAGCCCACTTGACCAAGACTGATAATTTGAGCATTTGGTTCTGCACAAATGTGACATACTTGAGGATTTGACGCTTCTTTTCCACTTCGCCTCGTGATGATAATCTATATACGGCGTAAGCATACAAGATGGATGACAACAGTGTCGCATATCACGTACGTATCAGTCAGCGTTTGCAAATCGGCATAGGTTTTGTTGACCATTTTTCCAATAAGGACTTGAAGAGGCACCATGCTAGCCATTTCATTCTGAAGCGCGATCTTTTCGACGTTGCCATTCTGCGATGGTGTTGGATCCACAGCCTTCGAGATCACTGATTTGCCATTGATGCCGTCTTGTTGCGATGGTGAAGCTGTCGTTGTCGTCGTTGTTGTTGTCGCATGGCCGTTAGTTTCCATCAACCCCTCCTTGTCGCTCGTTTGCGAAATCGGTTGCATTATTGAATGGAAAGTATCTGTCGTCAATGCTGCAGGTGACAGGTTGGAAGAAACCGGCAAATGACCAAGACCAGAGAGGGGAGAAATGATGGGGAGGAGGAGGACAATGGAAATAGCAAAGGGGAGAGGCGGTCGTCGTTTTGCCAAAGGATGGAAAGACAAAAGACACACCCAGCCGGCGTGTTCTCTCAGCTAAATTTACCTCCGCACGCTTGAAGAGTGACTATACCTTTTACTTCCTCTCAATGATTGATTATGCAATAAATGATCCATTTCCTTGGAGGTCTTATCAACCATGTCATTCATAAGAAATATGATCACATTTGTCTTTTTGGTATGATCCCTACTGTGCGTGGTCAGCTGACACAGTGAATGGAGACCCATCATCATCAATTGAGACATGCTTAAGCACCCCACAAAGTCGATTTTATATCATGGCTTCATGGATACCATTACTGCGGTTGAGCTTCATGTGATCGATTTGCTTTCTTGATCACAACAACGTAATAAGTCAATCAAGGATGGTGGGTTGTATGTGACTGGAAGCCGTTTACCACCCTCATGCGGGACCTGTGATGGACCGGGGACATTTACGCTTATGTACTATCGATCTTTGAAACGAAAACGTGCATGAAATCTTCGAACAACGTCTTGTTTTGTGGAACTTGAGCACAGAAAGTGATTTGAGAGATGCCATCATTGTTGGATGACGGAAATTGCTACCTTCTTTTCTACTTCAGAACCTGATTTATGCATGGACAATCAATCACACCAATGCTCTCTGTAAAAGCTCCCCCATCAACCTATCAGCTCATTACCGTTTTCAACCACTCTCTGTGGTCACAGAAGTAATCACGCCCATCATGCAGGTATAAAAATGACGCATGTCGTTCATCGTTTTTTCTCTCACACATCTCTTTCTTCCCATCATCATATCACTCTTTGATTGCTGACACCTTCAAAAGCCCATGGTGAGCATCATGATTAGAGTCCTTTTTGTGAGCGATCCATGTACTCAAATGTATGATGATCTTTAGCATTTCATTGTTATCCTATCGCTTTCATTGTTATCGTTGTCATTGTGATACTGGGTTCTTGTAATAAGGTAAAATCCAATCACCATGGCAGTAACGTAACCCAGCCAACCAACCCAATAAACACAGCTCTCATCTACCCACATTTGACCATGCGCGCACCAATTTTATTTCATCATCTCGCACACTACTATATTACCAATCACCCTTCTATAGGATGCTGTATTCTATTATGAGCTTTCAAATCATTCTATGCATAATAAAAACAATCTTACGCATGAAACGGGATACGAAGTAATGTGCACGCAAGGTGAATGATATGGATGTATGCACGTGATATGGGATAGCTAAATTGGTGTGCGCGTAGTAATTCCCTTTTATTGTATTGGTAAAGCAAACTCAATAGAGAAGCTCTGATGCGCTGCTACAGGGACCAACGTTGTTATCGCTCTTGAGACGAGGATCATTGTTTTACTTTCGAGAATGCAGTATTGTGCATGCTTTGGGTAAACGACTTACACCATTTATTCCCATACGTTGACTGCTACGTTTACAACATGTTGCATGTATCCAAAAACGTTCCCTTGTTCGTTGTCGTATTTTATGATTGACGCAATAAAGGAAGGCATGTTCAACAAGTAGATGCTTAACATGTGGCATGCAAAAAGACAACCTGCAGCTTTATACCTGCGTGGATGAACAAAGCGACCTGCTTGGCTGCATCACGCACATACAGCAAAAACGCTGATGTCCGGGCACAACCTACATCAATGGAGTGGTTGCGGTGGGTGTATGTAAAAAAAGTGAATCTGTGACCATTCCGGGGTAAAGGGGTTAAAGGAGCCTATAAACAAAAGGGATAATGACGATGATGATGACGATGCTAATCATGATGTTGCAGCTGTCGTTTGTGTGTTGACGTTATAAATGGGACCAAGGTACTAATAATTGCATCATTAGCCGAGATTACACGAGGGCATCACCCTGTCGATAGGATTCATATAGACGCGTTTCATCATCATCATTGCCATTGAAACGTATGATAGGATGATGAAATGTGGTCTATGTGGCGAAAAAAAAGAATGTCGATTGAGCCTGTTGGCGGGAGGAGGGTTAGGTTTCGTGAGGATAATATCCAGAATAACGTGCTCCTAAAGCTCTATTTACATTCTTCATTGTAAGAGGACGGTGGTGGTGCGCTAAGTGTGTGTGCTGCGTGTCCTGCATGCAAGCTCAATTAGAAGTTTCGGACATGACTTGCTCTGAATCCTTTTCCCCTCTCTCACAGTGGTGGTACCTCTCTCCCTTGTTTAGCCATCCCACGCGTATCTCCTTAGACCTGGCCTGCGAGTCATTAATAGCGCTCATGCCACGAAGCACACATAGGAGAGAGAAAAAGAAAAAGAAACAAGCAGCAGTGACTTGTAGCCATGGTAAAAAAAAGGTTCCCTTGTCGTCGTTCGTTATCAGTGCATGGCCACGGGGTGGTGTGTGTACAACCGGGCACATGCCCATATCATGGGATAATTAGGCACCGGTAGTACAAAATTGGCTCGATCGTCAACACCATGTAAACATTAAAGACCCTCCATTTCTCACACCATGAATAACAAAATGATGTTGTTGTATATAAATTGATACATTTCAAGTTGATAATATCTCATATCATGACGATCATACGGAGTGTATGCAAAAAGGAGAAAGATCAAAAGAGTTTGACCCTGTATTTTCAGGAGGGATGGATGGGAGAATCACCGCGTGCTAGTTGTTTTGGTGGTTTTGCAAAAAAGCAAAAAGCAACTACGTATTTGGAAACGACAAAAAAGATGATGCATATAAGATATCAGGAGACCTTTTTTTCGTTTCTCTTGTTCTTTCTTTTTCTCCCACCCCGTTTCTGTGTTGCCTTTTGCCACCAGCATCCTTTCTCCCTTATTGCTATGAGTTCGACTCGAAAGACTAGTCGCCGTGCCACCCTTGGTACCACTGATAACAAAAAGAACGTTGCTATTGCTGCAACGCCTCGTCGATATTCGAGCTATCTCCATAACGATAACAAAGACCCCAAAGAAACGCCTATCGCTACGACAACCACCACCGCTACTACTACGAGCGTCCATCGTAAACGATCCAATACCACCACCAATCGTCGTTCATCCGTCACAGCATTGACAGCCTCTGCTCGTGCTAAGCTTGTCAATAAATACAACAATCATGAGGAAAAGACAACAGCAGCTGACACATCTGACATCAGTGGTGGTGGCAACGGCTCTCATCACAACACTAACAATCGACGTTTGTCTATCAACAAGCGATCGAGCACTCGACTTCCACGTTGTGTTACGAACAATCAACCCGAGCCCAATATGAAAGAATGTGCACAAAAACAACAACCGACCATTGATATTGATCAGCTGACTGCCCTTTTATTGAAAACTGAAACCCACCATGGTGAACAAGGCCAGGATATGGATGAACGTGCACGACGCCGACGTAGCATGCCACCGTTGCAACAACAACAAGAAAATGGTGGTGACGACGAATTTTGGAAAGAGCTGGTGGATATTAAATCACGCCTTCAAAGACTCGAGATCAATAAGCACCATGTTGTGGATGATAAGAGCTGTTCAAGTAGTACAACCACTGCAAGTTCGATCCATACACCACCAGCGATGCCATCATCTCCTCGTGTCACGGTACACCAAAAACGCCTTCAAGATGCATTAGCTTTGCTTGAGCAACAACAACCAGGGCCATTAGCCAAATCCATGTCTGTTGTAGTAAATGAGACCATTGCTATGAACCAAAAGCTATGGGCAGCTATTCCACACGATCTCAATACCGATGCTCGGTCTTTGGTAGCAATGCAAAAAAGCAGTGATATCCAGCTAAGGGAGTTGACTGAATCTTTGTATCTCATGGCAACAACTTGTACCAGCAATAATAATAACATGCCATCCCCTTTGGCCGAATCATCTTCACCACCCATCATGATGATGCCATCCCCTCAGCAACAACCACATGGCCCATCTTCCTTACCAGTGTCTCCACGTCGAGCCGCTCCACCCCAACCACCTAGTTTTGAGGAAAGCTATTATTATCGACGGCCAACAATGAGTGCATATCAATACAAGCAGCAGCAACAACAACAACAACAACCATCCTCATTACCTGCTTTACACCACCAACATCGTGCATCGTTGTCTATTGCAGCTTCTCGACCCCAAATCAAAGCAGCGGGTATTTTGGATTACTCCCCAACCACGGACTATTTCTCAGCAAGGCACAAGTATTACGAACCTAGATACAGTGGAAGCCACCTTATTCATGAAGCTTGAGGAAGCCCATGATTCTCGCTCACTTTGTGAATTCGATCCCTTATCTCTGTTGTTGTCACAGCTGTAATTTAGTATCTCTTGTAGTTTTGCCTTTGGCCATTCCATTTGTACACACACACACACACGCACGCACGCACATACACCCCCTTTGCTATTATCTTGTTTTCCTTTACACAGAGTAGTACATATTACACATGATCAAAAGCTTCTCCATAAAGTTTAATTACACCCGCCCGCATTCCATTGCTTCACTCGTAAGATATGATGTATGGTTTTATTGATGTCCTGTGTGACTCATTACAACACAAAGAGACTAGGAAACAATGATCATGCATGAAGCTATCGGGATTTGGAAGGTAGGATTGGATGATCAAAGTCGCGTTGCATACCCTCTTTCTTCTTCGCTCATCACTGATCTCGCATGTTCAACATGACAACCACCTTGCATTGCTCAATTCGATACTGTCTTTCCCTCTAATGGCGAACATGGAAGCTTCAAGGCATGGACCTGCTCATGGGAAACGCATCGGTTACCAGCACATCGAGGTGCTTTTATTTCCAATGCGTGTCGACAACGTCAACTCAACTCGTTTCGATCCAAAGTGAAAATGTGGATGTCTTCGATATGGCAAATACATGGCTGTAGTCAAGAAAGGAGTGGCGTTCCCTATACGCATGGATATCAATGTAGCCGATGCCTGGCAACCAGTTGATCTTTTGAGAGCTGGTCGATTTCAACGGATGATTCATTCATCATTCAATGAAGTTGTTCTGGTGAGCAGTAATCAAGGATCGAGTGGATTGAAGGATGAGTATGAGCTTACACCATCTTTTTAGCTCAATGTTTTGGTAATGGGATGATCATAGAATTGGCAACAATGCGATCGATTACAAGAAAAGCTGATGCATGCAGGTAGGAATTCACAACATCATAGATGTATGCCTATTTACTCATTGAATGTTATGGATCTGCATTAGGCCTTCATACAGCATGAAATCGTTCTCAAGAGCAAAGGCTTTCTTTTTACGATGCGATGCGACGAATACATGTTCCATTCTACTGGTGGGCAAAGGATCAATCTTATGGTGAGCGTATAGGACCCTGTATCCAACCAAAGGAGCTAGAGTGTAGATCGCTACTAGAATTGCATACGACATCAACGACTAAAATACATGACCTTATCCCATATTGTTATGACATCCACGTACATGCAACCATATGATTTATGCCGTTTGTGAATAAAGAAGCACCATTAAAAGTTCATTTTCACTGTGTTTCTTATGTGTGATTGATTTATCTCTACGAAAAAGACAAAGATATGGCAGGTAAACATGCACTTTTGCAAGAAGACATCGTGCGAATCACGTGACCAAATCGAAAAATGAAAAATAAGAGCAAAATTCCGCGACGGGGAATCGAACCCCGATCGTCTGTGTGAAAGACAGAAATCATAGCCATTGGACCATCGCGGATGTTGTTAATATTTTACATGCGAGTTACATGTCATTCCAAGCACCTTCCAAATTCGATTTCCGCCAATCAGATGGCAGGATTTCTCGGCCCGAAAGTCGTCGTTGAGGATTGCTGTCTCTCACTTCAGGTGCCACAAGAGGAGGTTTTTGTTGCTGGCCCGCCTGCTGCAATACACATTACTCTTCCCCAGTTTACCCTTATCACACCACCACGACATGTAACTAACTATCTACAGACCAATGTTGATCTTATTTCACCTATATAAAGTCATTGCTATATAATGTGCAGCAGCTACGAATACAAGCTATATCGTATTTTCCATTCTTTGAAGACAACAAGTGAATATAGGTCATCGAATTCAACATTATTGTATTTTCATGTGTATGAAGGATATGGTTACAATGCATCTCAAGGTCTAAGGGTTCTATTGCTGTTTACTCTTGAACCATTTCTTCACACCCATAGCAACCGTTGTACCAACAACGAGAAGTGCACCGGTAACACTGTAAACGTCAGGGTATTCGTGTAGGATAAGGATACCAAAGGCAAAGGCAAAGGCGACATCGTTCATGCGCATCAAAGTACCTACATTGAGATTGGAGAGTGAGATCAGTGGGTCCTCAATGGCAATAAAAGAAAAACTTACCTGGACCAGCAGGTGCAAGTTGAAGGCTTTTTATATGTATGCAAAAGCAGTTAGTATACCTGAAATAGGTGTTGTGATGCATAATCAACGTACCCATTGTTCAATAAGCATTGACCGATGAATGCAAGGACACCAGTCATCAAGAGCATACCATATTCCTTCCATCCTTCAGGTGCAACGTATTCTTGGAATGCAAACAGCATAGGAATTGCGGTGACGGTGGAGATAACACCAAAGTAAACGGTATGAACGAGGAAATGAGCACCTTTTCCAATCTTGCGTACAGTAACATAAGCGAAGGCTGCCATCAATGCACCAACCAATGCTGCAAGCACTGCCAATGCACGTTGCAAAGAGCCGGTTTCCATGTCATCACCACCGAATAAGAAAGTAGGCTTGGATACGAGGATTGCACCCACCATGCACAAGGTTGCACATATGCCATCGAAGAATGTAAATGCTTCACGAAGAATAAGCGCAGCAAGGATGGCTGTGAATGTGGGACTGAGGAAGAAGACCACTATGAAAAGTCATTAGCAAGGATAAGGTTGGTGTATCAATGTGTATATCCTTTATACCTGTAGCATCTGCTAATGGCAATTGTGTAATACTGTAAAAGAATAAGGCCAAACCGGTGGATCCAACGAAGCCTCGAACAAAAAGCCATTTGCGTACACCGGGTTTACCGAGAGGATTGATACCAAGCATATAACATCCTACCAAGCCAAGGGCAGCTTGAACAATCGAACGTGCAGCCACGATTTCAAATGAGGCAAATGAGGCTCCACTTAGTTTGACAAAGAGTGACATGGTCGAAAAGGCGAGAGCTGACAGTGTCATGAGGATCAAGCCAAACGCTTCCGACTTTGCATTCTGGATCCGTTGCTGCCGCTGTTGTTGTTCAGTTTGCAAAAGGGGTGTCGACTCGTTAATGACTATTTCTTGCTGCCCGTTGTTGTTGTTGCTCATTACAAATCACAGTGCGTGGTGGAAGAAGAAGACGACGACGACCGAAAAAAAAAGAGTGAGAATGCGGCAAATTCGGGCGTAACCTTAATGACAAATGACACATTCAGGAACTATTGGCCGCCCTCATCCCCCACATTATCAATTATACCAATGTCTATATTCTTTTTCTGCAATTACCAATGGTTGTGTACACACACATGATATATAAACGAGAATGCTTTTTTATAATGCGAATTGTCCATAATATCTACCACTTCATATCAGGGTTCTTTTTGAATGTCTCGTAGGTATCACGGTTAAAGAAGGAAACTTCGGTCTCGTTTTCTAAAGAAGGATGAATGAGGGTCAACCATGGTGTGTATAGATGATGATGATATATACAACTTACCAAGGCCGAGCCATGCAAGCGTGGCTGAATCATCATCAAAGATCAGGCTAGCATCATCCTCCATGTTGATAATGAGGTTTTGAGTCTAAAGGCAAGTGAGATGGGCAAGATAGAAAAGAGGAAATGCAATTGGTTGGATCTATGGTCGTTTGCTCTTCCCCCAGGGGTGTTTAGTATATGCCATACTTGGCCGTCATCTTACCTTGTGTCCATGAGCAACTGTATACAACTTGATGGTATCTATAGAAACGTAAATATACCTCACATGAGTATCCTCCCCATGCCATCCCATGTCCATCCCTATTCATCCTTTGATTTACCAAATTCAACGTTTTGATATGGCTTCCATCCAGAGGTGGTCTTGATTTCTATTCTTATATGTGAGTAAGGTCGTGTGGTGTATATACGTTTGAGTATCAAAGAAGTCTTACTCTCCCGCACAAGCGATTTCAACTCGCCAACAGTAGTCGTCTCGAGATTCAAGTGTTGTAAAACCAAGCTTTTGCAAGTACGATATTCGAATGACTTGATGCAACGCACCGTGATGGTGGCATCGGTGGTGGGACGTGTATGGCTGGTCAAGGTATCCATGGCAAAAAGATCGTGGCAAGACAAAGAAGGGCTTCTACCGGAAAAAACAACCGACTTCTCCAAAGTGATGTGATTGGGTTGTTCTAGAAGATCCCAGCCTCTCATTTTCTTCCCCAGCCGGGTTGCTAGCATGAATTTCAAGGCACCACACCAACCGTTGAGGTCTTGGATAGGATGGAATAAAAAGGATCATCGTATGGTGATGTTCAATTTAAACATAAGACATATACTCGTCTTCTATGCGTTCAGATGGTCTTTAAATGTAGCATGATCGTTTATTGATGAATGAGTACTAGATCATACATTTCCGCAATATGTAATAAATGTTTTTGTTAGGCTGCAATAAAGAGAGATAGTATGCAAGTCCCACCACGCAGGCAACAAGGACGATGATCAATGGGGGACATTAAAACCGCCAATAGGAGTATTCTGATCCCGTATAATAAGGTTGTGGAGACATCGTGGGTTGTATCATTGTGTCTGTGGGCGGCGGCGAGGTCTGGTGACTTGGATTCATCATTTCAGGTACAAAGTATGGGCTCGCTAGAGGGCTTCCTGCTATCCATATGTTATAACATCATAGATCAATAAGCGACACCTTTCGAGCATGATACAGTTGTAACGTACCATTGACAACATAGTAACCTTGGTATTCATGGGGTTCTTGTTGCTGTTGAAAGCCTTCGTTGTGAGAAGGTGAAGGGGGTATTGCTGATGGAGTATCATTCTCTGGTAAAAGGGGTGTATCTATCCATCAAAAACAATCTTAGCCAATCCTCTCGCCTTTGCGTCATCTGGTAGTACTTACAAAGAAATGCCGTGTTGTATGCTTCAGGGCTGTATTGTGGATTTAATGGCGTTCCCGTTCCTGTGAATGATTGTATGGCAGAGAATGCTGGTGATGTCAAATTGTTGCGTGCAACCTAAAAAAGTATTCAAGTGGGTCAAATCGCTGCTACTGCGTATCTTACTAGACAATGATTTGTATGCTCCTACCTGAGGATCCGTTGTGGCGTATGTAGAGGTACGTTCATATGATGTAGTAGGTGTTGTTGTCGGGTTCATGGATGATGGTGTATATCGCTTTGTAAATATGGGAGGAAAGGATAAGCATAAAAAGACAATGCATCATCACACAAAAGCTTGTTGGCTCACATGTGGGTACTGGTATTGAATGTAGTTGTAAGAAGGCGTAAATTGCTGCTGATTGTAGCTGTAGCCATTCTCGATTGCATCGTCCATGAATTGCATGATGTATTGTGTCGTACCAAACGGCCAAGTAGGACCTACCGATCCATGATAAGTGATTGCCTCCTCACATACTAAGCCAGAGACCCTTACCAATGGCATGAGCTGGCATTTCGACGTCGTTTTTGGAAAAAGGGTGCTTGAATACTTCATCCACGGTCAGGTGATTTGTGTCCACATCCTTCAACGTTGATCGATGATCCATGGGAAAGAGCAATGATAGAGACGCAGCACCACTACCACGGTTTCTCGCCTAGCAATCCTTTTAGTCACTGGTACATCAACGAGAAAACACATATAACATGTAACTTACCGCAAGGAACTCTTGTATTTCAGGATCAGGTATGAATTCTTCAGCGTGGACGTTGAACTCAAAAGGGCGCTTTTTCTTCTTGCTGGTGGTTCTTTTGGCTGTGGTAGTCGTGGTGTTTTGCCGTGATTCGTATAGTTGCTCAAAGACCTCATTATCCAACACGCCGGCTGACTGATTTTGTTTTGACAGCAATGGTTCGATATCAGCAGGGATTGGAAAATTGAGCTTGAAAGTCTGATGGAATCTGACGAGCTCGGCAAGATGCTTCTCCTTGTCCTTCATCTTATGCGCATACTTTTCCGCGTAACGCTTTCCTCTCAACATCCGGGAATAATGGCATAACGGCTTGGACACCGATTGCTCATGAACCTGAAGACCCAACATTAGATGACATGCTAATTTGATCATGTATTCCCGATACTTTTACCTTTTCCTTCCTCTTGTCACAAGCACAAATGTGGTTGGTCATAGGAGATGGTGCAACAAAGTGTGGGATGGTTGATTCGTCAAGATGCGTAGAGTGGCAGATGAAATCATGTTCCATAGCTGGGAACACCTTCACCTTGTGATTGATAAAATAATCAGCAGGAGCACGAGTAGGACGAGTTGCCGCCACGCTGTGTCTGTTCTCCTCATCCATACGATCTTCATCCACTAGTTGACCACATTTGTCCGATTCATGTGTACTCATTACTGAAGACTAAAAGGAAAATAAGTGTAAGAAGGCTAATGAATGCATAGTAGTTGGTTCATGACTTGCCTTCTCCTCTTGTTCAATTTCGTTTGCGTATCGTTCAAGTTCCTCGTAGTCATATTCAGTGCGATCCAGAAATTCGGTGAGAGATTCATCGTCATCATCGTCAAAGGCCGTCTTTATCTCAAATGGCTTGTTGCTGAATGAGGTATTGTCATCATCATTGTCATCCAGGAAAATCAAATCGCCAGCAACCTTGTCGTCCCATTCATGCAGCTCGCATTGTTCTCCGAATTCGACTTGATCTCCGCAGCAGCTGTTTTCATTATCCACTATCAAATCTGACAACTGATCAATACCCAACGCTATCTCCATTTCATCGTATGTACATACCATCATCCATGATTGAACTCATAATCGAGACCAAATCTTTGTTCATGATCAAAATGGATGGTGACGCCGCAGCTGTTTGGACGCGTGATGATGTTACAGTGATGGGATCATTGAGAACAATACCAAGCTCGCCCTGAGTCGATCCACTGTAAAGTATCCCCTCGTATTTGGAACCATTCTTGACCGACACTTGAACACGGCTCCCCTACCATGTAATGACAAAAGTAATCAGGCCACTTGTACTTGTCTTCCTTCCTTCCTATCTCTCCTTGATAATCGATATATTACAGTCAACTTGGCGATCAAAAAGAGGATGCGATCGTGGCCCTCAGGCATGTCTTTGATAGGACGCTGCCGTTTACTGTGTAAGGTTCCATAGCTGTTGTGCGGATCGCCATTTCTGCAGCTGCCACTGTTGTCATTCGACGATTGGCTCGAGCCACGACTACGGATCGTTGTTACATTCAAAGACCTCTTTCAATGAGCTCCAAAAGAATACACACCTTGGCATGGACCATGGAGGAGACGACGATTCTGTTTTGCTGCTGCTTTGTTGTTGATCGATTGACGCCATGTTGATCCAAGGCTCGAAAAGGCGTGCACAATGAGCGTCGGTTGCTGAAGTGTCCAACGGGGATAGGAAAAGAGCGCGTTTGAGGAAAAAGAGCAGCAGGCGGAAGAATGAAAAGGATCGCTTGACAACATCCACAGAATGTGTGCACACACATGAATCCATCACTGATCAGATGCCATCTACAAGGCCTCACTCGACGCATTTTTATCATACTCTTCACCACATAGCTATGACAAGAAACAACACACCCACTTTACACATATTCCATCTTCATCCACTTCCATCAATTCATATCTGACGTGATTGACCTACTTTATATCCTCCCATACATTATCGTTTAATACAACTATTGTATCATCATAACAAGGTGTATTATCATAACAAGGACGCTTGAATGAGAATCTGTTTGTTGAGGAGACAATGGTGCCTTGTTTAGTATAGCGAAAGATCATAGAGTCATGAGGATAAGAACTAGGAGGTATTGGAAGTGGAATCATTATTGCTGCCGCCAACTACCAAAATTGGATGCCTTTTTATCCACAATCTGCATCCTACCAAGCAATCATACACTAGCACAATGAAAATTGACCCTTGTGTATGGTTTACCTCATGTTGTTACTTGAGCCTCCCCCACCTTGAGTAGGGTCTTTGTTGCCAAGTTTGATTGTTCTTTTGCAGATGATTAACAGCATCCTACACATCTAGTGAAGTACCTGCAGCATCATCAAACTACAGCTTCGCATACCTTTGCATACGTATGCATTCACTTGCATTGTGCCATACATGCCGCCGATCACGTCCTTTCCTACACCTCTCTCAAATCATCAACAGAGCAAATGTAAAAGCATTGGTATACGTGCTTTAGAGATAAACAACATCTTGAAAAAGCGATTCATCATTCTACTACCCTCATTACATATCATGATGGTGCACTACGCTCATTAAAGGGCGACCATTAGATGCTTGTGTCTATTCTGTAGAATGCATGTAAAGCATTTGGGAGGTCCGTATCCATGGCAACATCGATGATGAATTAGAATCCCGGAAGCATCGATTAGAGAGGAGTTGTTTACTGACATTCCTGATCTGCTGCATGGCTGTTGTTTCAAAACAATCGTCAAAAAGGGCGACTTTGATCTAAACAACCATGCATCAACAACGAGATCGGCTGTTGTGCGCTCACACATGAACACGCATGATCTCGCATCATGCATTTGAGTTACTAGGGAATAACTTGCACCATGAGCGGTTTCTGATGACACATTACATTCTAGCAATATCATCACGAACATGCACAATTGCACGTTTCGGAAAAGTTTTGCCAGTCAAATGAGCAGCTTCATGGATCATTCAAGAAGGCTTGCTTGTTAGAGATCGTAATTCCTTTTGATGGACGAAGAAACGCGTTGCATACCAAAAGTCATCATGCTAGTGCATGTATGTTTACCGTACTGCTGGTGATCTACTGCTCTAATCCAGAAGAGGGAAACGAGACATACCCCATTGCACACCGATGGTCGGCTAAGATTAGCCGACTGGTGCCGATGTGTAACTTATTTTGTGGACGCTAGATCGGTATGCAAAACGGGCTCCCCCAAATATAAGCACGTTTGGATCTACGAGGAGGGAAAAAACTTGCTTTTTTGATCCGCATTTTTTTATCAACAACATCATCATTAAGCCATTGTATGCGATTCGACTTTAATTTATCGTTTATTTGAATTGCTTAATTATTCTACTATCATCATCGTCCAATGTCCACCGACGATACTACGCTTCAACAACAACAAATCGCTGCTGCCAGTACTTGGCATACACAATCGGTGGAGTCGGTCATTGACTCCTTGCATACGGATATCAAGAAAGGCCTGACGGAGGATGATGTCAAGACCCGTCAATCGCAATACGGCCTGAACGAGCTTGCCACCAACAATGGAGCATCGTGGATCAAGATCTTGTTGCGACAAGCGATCGATATCATGAATTGGATCTTTGTTGCACTCGGCATTGTATGCTATGTGATGAGTGATTACATCACTGGTACTTTGTTGATTGCCCTTGGCATTGCCAATTTGATCATGTGTTTTGCACAAGAATATGCGGCTGAACAAACGCTGGCGGCCTTGCGCAATTTGTCATCTCCCACAGCCACTGTGTTGCGTGGTGGACACGAGACAACCATTGCAAGCAAAGAATTGGTCCCTGGTGATGTGTTGTTGGTTCAAGAAGGCGATACGGTTGCTGCTGATGCTCGATTGATTTACATATCGAACCTCGAAGTGGATGAAGCCTTGCTCACGGGTGAATCCTTGCCTGTTCAAAAGCAGCTTGTGGTGATTGATAATATTGGTAAGTTATACCACGTGTGGGTGTGTGGGTGCTCATGTGAAGTATGTGTTGTACTCATTTATCGGCAAAGATGAGCCGGTCGGTGATCGGATCAATATGGTGTACAGCTCCACGGTGGTAACCAAGGGACGTGGAAGAGCCATTGTGACAGCCACAGCCATGCAAACGGAAATCGGCAAGGTCGCACAAAAATTAAATGATGCTGGTGATGCGGATCGTACAAGACTCCAAACAAGCCTTAATCGAATGTACATTGGCCTCACCGTATTGGCTGGTATCTTTGTCATTATTGTGTTGGCAAGTGTCAAGTTCCAAACGAATTATGATGTGGGCATGTACGCCATGACAACGGCCATGTCAGTGCTTCCAGCTGGTTTGACTACTGTTCTTACTGTTACGCTTGTCCTTGGTGGTCGACAAATGTCAAAGCGCAAGGCTCTTGTTCGGAGACTCAAGGTGCTTGAAACGCTTGGATCATTGACCAATATCTTTTCGGATAAAACTGGAACATTGACTTTGGCACGTATGGTGGTTGTCAGGTTTTGGACCCCTGATGAAGGCTTTGTGTACATGACATCCAACGGCTTGGCTCCAGAGGGAAATGCTTACAAGGTTGGATCAGCTGACGAGATTCCTAATGACAACGGTGACCAGGAAAAGACCCATGCTGCTCTTGATAAGGTGGATCTCAGCAACACAATGGAGCAGCTTGTGCAGTGTGCAGCTTTATGTAATCTATCAAGCATTCGTCGTCGTGAAGAAACCCAACAAGAAAACAACAAGCCAAAGGAGGAAGCATTGGATGAGAAGAAGCAATCGAAAAAGAAGCATGGCAATGACGAAGAAGAAGAAGAAGAAGAAGAAGAAGAAGAAGAGGATATCGATTCATCTGATGGCTGGATCCCTAGTGGTGCACCAACCGAAGTGGCATTGCAAGTATTCGCACACAAGTTTGATCGTGGCAAACCAACACTTGAATCTCAAGGATGGGAATTTATTGAAGAACATCAATTTGATTCAACTGTGAAGCGTATGGCAACCGTGTATCATCATCAACCTAGCGAACGCTACATTGCTTTTGTCAAAGGTGCCACCGAACGCATTCTTCCCTTATGTACATCTGGTTTACCCAAGGATCCTGATAGGGTGATGCGTACTGTGGATGAATTGGCTTCGCAAGGTCTACGTGTTATTGCATTGGCGTGTCGTCGTCTACCCGATGATATCAAACGTGAGCAAGCAAAGGCCATGAGTCGAGAAGAAGTGGAATCCGATTTGGAGTTTCTTGGTTTGACAGGCATTTATGATCCACCACGTGCTGAATCACGTCAAGCTGTACGCGAAGCCCATCGTGCTGGTATCATGGTGCACATGTTGACAGGTGATCATCCAGCCACTGCTACTGCTATTGCCAAGGAGATCCATATCCTCAATGCTCAAGCCATGAAACAAGTCGATGAATTGGTGATGACAGGTCCACAATTTGATGCCTTGTCAGATGAACAAGTGGATGCCCTCGAACGTCTTCCTTTGGTGGTGGCTCGTTGCTCTCCCGAGACAAAGGTCAAAATGATTGAAGCTGCTCAACGTCGACAACTCATTTCTGCCATGACCGGTGATGGTGTCAACGATTCTCCTTCCTTGCGCATTGCTGATGTGGGTATCGCCATGGGCAAGAATGGCAGCGATGTGGCCAAACAAGCATCCGATATCATTCTCACTGATGATAACTTTGCCACCATCATTCGCGCTGTTGCTGAAGGCCGTCGCATCTATCAAAACATGCAGCGTTTCTTGTTGTACTTTTACATTGTTCTCTTTGCTGGCGCCGTCTACTTGCTCATTGGTCTTGCTTTCCGTGATCCTGAAAATAGCACAGCTGCACCCATTTCCACTCTACAAATGGTGTTTTTCTATGTTGGTAAGTGAAATGGATTGTTATGTATTATGGATACGTAACTAAATGACAATGATAATACTAGCTGTTACTCCTCCTGCTGGTCTTTTAAGTTGGCAACCTGCATCGCCCGATATCATGAAGCAACCACCACGTCCACCTACAGAGAGCTTGTTCAACCGTGAAATCATCATGGATGCGGTGTTTTATGCGGTATTGCTTGGTGCATTGTGCATTATCTCCTTTGTGATCCCGCTTTACGTGCTAAGCGACGGCTACGGCGTTCAAGGTGTTGGATGTGATGGGAAATACCAACCTGGTCTATGCGATCCATTCTTCCGAGCTCGATCCACGCTGATGATGACTGTCATTCTTGGTTCCTTTGTTGTCATGATGCATTGTCGTAGCTACCGTGGTGTTGAATGTGGATGGAAGGGTATCAAGGAAACTCTCTTGTCACGTACTCTTCAATATACCTTCCTCTTTGACATGGTGGCTGGTTGTATATTCATGTACGTCCCTGAGGTCAACACCGAAGCATTCCGTATCCTTGGTATCACATGGGAATGGGGAATCGTGGTTGGATTTGTGCTGCTCTTTGCTATTGCAGGTGAAGGATATAAATGGATGAAGCGTCATTTCCTCAAGCCCCTTGCTTCCCATCCCGTCGATGAACTCTTATTTTAGATTCCAATCATTCTCTGTATTCATCATCTTTAATGCGCTGTAATAAATTTCCAACATGTACAACAGAAGATGTCATTTAATTAATGGAAAAGTTGGAGGGATTGGTGCCTTCTTCACGTTCAGTGTCCCATTTTTCAATCTAAGAGAAACCTGGGTTAGTTTGACTGATGATGAAAAAAAGTGGCGTGATAATCGATGCAACGATCGCTTACCCATTCATTAGGACACAAGCTGTGGAAGGCACGATAAAACTGCTTGCAGGGCTCAAAATCCTCACCACGGGCGTTGACACACTTGTAGTAATCGACATAGTTTTGCCAGCAGCTAAGTAGTAGCATAGTCGTGTTACGCGTAAAATGGAACCTGACCGCATACATATGCATCCCATCCATGGCACTTACTGCTTCGTCTGGTTGGTATTAGGGAACCTGTTGTTGTTGTAAAGAAAGAGTGAGTACATTTCACGCGTCATTGGGATAGGCGATGGGCGACATACCGAGCATCGAAAGCAGCTTTAGTATTGAAAAAGAGTGAGCGCGTGTCAGTCTGAGAGGTTACGCTACAACAGCATCGTTGTCATTGAACCACTTACCAGTTCTCAATTTGAGCTTTTGGTCGGCTTCAGACATTGCGTTGGGTGCTTGGGAGTAAAGAAAAGGACAAAAAAAGAGAAAGATAGAAAGGAGTAGGATGGCCCATTCCAATTCTCCCTCCCCACATGGTGCGTGCCAACGACGTTACACAAGGGTCGATTTCAATCACTTCCACACATACATATACACACATGAATGTTGTTCAAGTAGATATGGATTATGGATTTACTATGTATAAAAGTAGATGCTTGGAGGTGCGGATACAATAAAAGTATTTGACGCGGTCATTTTTCACTAGACTACACTATTGGTTCCATGCTCAACATTGGCTGTATTATCGTAGTTTTGTTCGGCCCATTGAGCCGCTCGTCCTCCACCCGCATGACTATCCATAGAATCGTCCAATGCTTGGCGTTTCATATTGCTTGGAGGCTCCACACCAGGTACAAATTGTAGGATGCAAAAAGCGACACCGCATACAGCCACCTAATATTACCCAAGATGAATGAACCCATGTCTACTTTTTCCTTTCTTGACTCCTGCTCACTTACAATGACACCCGAAGCAATGGCCAGCGGAATATAGTTGAGAATAATGCATCCAATGCTACATAAGGTCCATCAGTAAACCTCTATCTTACCAGCCAGCCATAATGACTTACAAGATGTAGACTATTATCATACGCATAAAAATGTCAATCATAATGATACATACTCAAGGACAACAACCATAAAAGATGATGACTTACATAGTCCACGTCCCAAGAATGAGAACATGTATGATACATGCTGGGTAATGATGGATGGTAACCGGAATTCAAATACAAACACCATGACACCAAAGACAATGCAGTAAATGCCTCGAATAAATTGTGGGAATCCTAACATGATGATGACGATGATGCTGTTGTGAGCTTACGATATGATGGTTGTTACGAAAGAACTCACCTCCGGTCAAAATTACACATACACCACCTATCACCATAAAGCAGGCGACAATGATGTTGATGATACGAAAAACGAGGCTATGGTTGATATGCTCCTTTAGATTGTCTATGATGCTCATTGTTGAGGGAAAACAGTTTGTTTGTGGAAAAGGGAGAAAGAAAAAGAAGAACAGGGCGTGTGCAAGGTGGTCATTGTGTGTTTCGCTCTCGCATAAAACATCCCGAGGTAATTTTCGGGTCGCCCACATGACCCGTACGCATGATAAAAGTACTACAGTAGTATCACACACCCAACATATATACACCCCTTCTATAATCACTAGATGCCTTGCATGAAAGAATGTGCTATGATGAAAGTACGTGGTGATCAAAAATATGACAAGTGAGGGTGCTGACATCAACACGACGTTATTTCTTGCTGAACCCGCATCACCTGATCTTTGGGATGCTGCATTTTTAACCAACCAATACCAACCCCAACACTCTCTTTGCTTCTCTTTCATGTTTCGCATTATTGTAGCAGCTGATGACACCCCCGTTTCCAGAAAAGCCATTAGCTATGGTTTACGTCTACACGAGTCAATACCACAAAGTAGCATCCAATTCGTCTTTGCTGTAGGGCTCAATCCAACTTCCAATACTAGCATCAACCTCTTGTACGTAAGAAACACAAATATACGTAATGACCAGCACTCATCGACATGGCTTCCATTTATAGAGGTTCTCTAGATCGTACAAATAACCTTGAGATCGAACATGATGCTCATAATACCGAGAATGCATTACGACAACGACTACCCGACAAAGCGGACCTCCAAGTTATTACCGGGGAGCAATCTGTAGAGAAGCTCATTGAGGACTACATCAACACCAATCCACCCGATATTCTAATTATGGGATCATCCAATCGCACCGGGCTTGAAAAGTATGGCATTGCATAATATGGAGGTGGGATATTTTATAGGCTAACGAGGAGGATACGTGTGCACATAGATGGGTCCTTGGTTCTGTTAGTGATCATTGTATTCATCATTGTCATTGTCCGGTCACCATCATTAAAGCATAGCACGTCTTGTCTTTATTTAGGGCTCTGAGCCAAAAAGCTGTTTCAACATGGGATGTCGTGAAGCATTATCGTGTCTATTATCATGCGTCCATATTTTAACATCCGCACCTGTCGTTACAGGTGGCGGCAAGCCAATGGCTGTTGTTGGATCATCATTACCATGTAAAGTGTAAAATGGCACACACCCTTCGTGAGGATCATAGCTTTTATTTACGTGTACTTATTGTCTATCGTGAGGATGATGATAATGATGGGTGGATGGTGTGTATAGGGTAATTGAGTGGCCTCAGTGTAATAGCAGTAGGGGATTTAAACTTGGGGGTCAGCAGCTCCACGACTTGAGACAACGCTTCTCTTCTTTTTCTCCCACCTTTCCTTATTCCATTCACGACATCTCGATCAAGGTAATGTATTATAAAAGAGTGCTCTTGTTGGCTGTGAGGTGTTAATGTAGTTCTGAACCTGCATTGTCAGGGAGTGAGTGTGTCCAAGTGCTGAGGAATGAGCGTGGTTGGTGGTTGGTGGTTGCCATGGCGATATTGTTGCTTCCTTTTGCTCGTTGCTATTCCCACTCTACGCTTGGTGTCAACAGGTACATTCAGAGTCCAATGTTGCAGCCGAATTGGTTCCATTGACGCGTCAGCTTGTATAGAGGGCAAGTTTGGTTTCAAGACGTTGGCTGGTTTGGCGTTTTGTTTCGGCTCAACTATACTACACCATGGTTTTCGGTTTCCAGTAACCAACAACAACGGGTCTTTGTGTATATGGAAAAGGCAAGTACAATGAAACAAACAATGAAAAGGGTGTTTATTGTGTGTGAGAGTGTGTGCTAATAATGAATTGAATAGGTTTCTTTGGCCAGGCAATGCAACTTGGGGGCATCATCATCATCTCTTTGGGTTCAAGTCCCAGCCTGTATCAAGTGGTCGCTGCGTCGCTCTGCACTAGCCGAGTGTGCTGGAAAAGCTTCTTGGAACGCGTCCAGGGCTCTATAGGCCTGCGTTGAGTTGAGGATGGGTCGATGACGATGGATTTTTGGAAGAGCATGGTCACCGTGTTGAGGTAAAAGGGATTTGCAACAGCTCGTGAATGTGTTGAATGAACATGCTCTTCTCGTGATAGGCTCGTTCCTTCCCTTTGAGGATTTCTTTTCATGAGGTCGAAAATGATTGGAAGGATTGGGGATCATTCTTTCTTTGGAGAGGATGAATGAGGACAACTATGAGCCTGGACTCTACGTAAGTGATGTCCTTCCTTGCTAACTTGGCTGCTTTCTTATTTATAGAGACGACGATTACGATGATTACCACATACACAACAATGGCGATTACGATGATAACGACATTCACAACAATAACAATGATAACGACAACGAGATTCAAAAGGAAACCTGCAAGATCCCATTCTTTTCTACTGCGTGTTTTGGATATTGGTGACGAGCAGATTGACGACTGTAGACAAGTACGAGTACGAATACGAATGATGACCGAAGACGAAGACGAGGATGGTGGCACTACTTGGACTTTGCTAGCTTGTGGATTACATAATGTAGCTTGGAAGATGGAATAATAAAGGTGGTTCGCTTAATATGGTTCATGCAAGAAGTATATGCCTTTGGTGATACAATAAGGAGGAGTGGGATGACCTTGAGAAGAGAAAAAGTGAACCATCAATAACATCTTACTGCCATGTCCGTGCGCACTGAATTCATTATTGGGTCTACATGTACAAGTTGGTTTATGCAGCTCGACCTTTCCCTACATCCAAATGTGTTATGGAACCATTATTATTGCCATTGACACACCTTCCTTATTGGATGATGTATACCCCAACTTACATACATACCTTCCTAGAGACAATCATCACCACCATCCATTTGTGCAACAACCTGTGAAGGACGTGCGCGTGTAACCACCACGTGCCATTTCACTCAGTTCTCCATCTTTCCGTTAATGCAGCCGACACCATCCAGCATCCACTAGGAGAAAGCAACTCCACCACGCTTACAGCATATGTAAAACATAAAGGTGCCTGTATCTCCAAACTTTACAATCAAACGTGGGCTCTTTAATAGATCAACGTGCTCGTCGGGGTCAAA